TGCACGAGGGCCTACAGACACACCTCAATAAAGTGATAATGATTTTGGGAAGAGTCTGTGGACGTGCTTGGTTATGCCCCCCTTGGTTTGAGAGATGACCCCGGGCTACATGAGTCAGGAAATATTAGCCCCCCAAAAGCAAGATCTCAGTCCCGATCCTGACGTGCTCTGGTGACTCCCAAGTTTTTGTTCCAGCTGAGCTCATTGGTGATAATGAGTGCCTGTAACTGATCTGCTGCTGCTTTAGACATTTTGTCTCCATTCTGTCTTTGGTTTAAAAATACCCAAAAGTGCCTTATTTCCACTAACTTTAACACACACCTTTATTCTGTCTCTCCTCGTCTTTCTAGCTGAAAATTTGCTCCCTTATTTCTGACCAAACAGCTGTCAACAGGTGATCGATGGACAGACTCCATCATGGACAGTGGGAATGGCACTTTATCAGACAAGTCAGTGACAGTGAGTCAGGCTTGTTCTGTCTCTTGGCTTCTCTCTCAGTCCAGAGGTTCGTACAAATTACACATTTTATTAAGCTGTGGAAGAGCTGAAAGCAGCTTTCTGAAAAGAGACCTCTGATAGAAACATGAAATAAATTAGTGATCGAGAATGCAGCAGGAGAATAAACCAGATGGGGACTTCACAGAACAAGTATTGAGGAAGGGTGTACCATGGGATCATTGAAACCCGGCCTGAATGCAGAAAATAAAACTTTAACCATCTAGCAGATCCTACAGATCCTGTCAGCAGTTAGCTCTGGTTATCAAGGGCCTAGTTGAAAGAAATGCCAGCAGACACAGGGAACTCCATCATCAGGACTTACACCACTGCTCTAGACGATTTATGCCTTAGAGACTACAGAGGTGATTGTCTTTCTCCCAGACTTTCATTATGGACTTTAGTTAAACTCCTTGATTTGTTTTAGCTTGCTGTGAGCTGATGGCACAAAAGAAACTGGTCTGTTACAGGGGTTCTCTTTCACAGTTGGTATAGCCCCTGTAATTCCCTGGCATTGGGGACAATGATGAAACACAAAATTTTAAAGTAGGTTTTCTGTCATAGTATTGTGGCATACGGGGCCTACAGAAAGTATTCACCCTCTACCGAACAATTGCAAATGTTGTAAATTCTGGTAACGATGACATTTTTGATCTACACAACATATGCAGCAATTTATAAGTGCTAAAATAATTTAGTTGTCAAAAATGTATGAACAATGAGAAATGGAAATATCTCTATTTAAGATTTCACCCCCTGAGTCAATACTTTGTAGAGTCACCTTTTCCAGCAATTACAACTTTGCATCTTCTTCCGTATGCCTGTGTCTGCTAGACTTGGAGATTTGCTCACGCACTGTCAAGTTTGATGGGGTGCGTCAGTGAACCGCAGTCTTCAAGTCCTTCTACAGATCTTCCATAGGATTCAAGTCTGGGCTTTGGCTGAGCCACTGAAGAGCATTCTTCTTCTTCCTCTGAAGCCACGATAGTGTTACTTGGTGGTCATTGTCCTTTTGGAAAGTGAATCTAGGTGACGGGGACACTATGCTGTAAAAAGGCTCCATCCTTTGGATGAGACGTGAAACCGAGGTCCTGACTCTCTGTGGTCATTAAAAATCCCAGGACGTTTCTGGAAAAGAGTAGGGGTGTAACCCCGGCATCCTGGCTGAATTTGTCATTGGCCCTTACCAATTATGGCCTCCTAATAATCCCCATCTATGAATTGGCTTCATTACTCTGCTCTCCTCCCCACTGATAGCTGATGTGTGGGGAGCGTTTTGGCGCACTATGGCTGCCGTCGCATCATCCAGGTGGGGCTGCACACTGGTGGTGGTGGAGGAGAGTCCCCATTACCTGTTAAGGGCTTTGAGTGGAGTGTCCAGGAAAGCGCTATATAAGTGTAAGCAATTATAATTATTTTTAATGATGCACCTGGCTGTGCTCCTGGGATTGGTCATCGCCATATATATGTTTTTATACCCTTTTTCAGATCTGTGCCTCCTCACAACTCTGTCAGTTATTGCTGAGTTCAGTTATTGAAAGAAAAAGCTTTTGTACAAGTTATTTTAACGTTGTATAAATTTTAAAGTGGCAAAAACTCTCAGTTAAATACATAATGGATCCATGCCATAACAATAAAATGTGAAAAAGTCCAAGAGGGGTGAATATGTTTTATAGGCACTGCACGTGCGACGTTGTGATGGTGAGCATTGCTGTCTCACAGTGCTGGGGCCCTAGGTTCAATTCCTGACGTGCTATCTGCGTGGTGTTTGTACAGTATGTTCTCCCAGTGTTCACGTGGATTTCCACTGGGTGCTCTGGTTTCTCCCAAAGTTCAAAGACGTGCTGGTAAGTTAATTGGCATCTGGGAAAATGATCCCTGGTGTGAGTGTGCCTTTGTGTGCCCTGCGTTGATGTGCTGTCTGCTCTGTATCTTGCTTTGCCCCCATTATATGACGGGATAGGCTCCGGTTTCCCTGCAGTCCTGTACTAGATAAAGCAGTTAAAATATGGATGGATGTGAATATGTTTATTAGTGCAAGAGAGGGTGAGGGAACACTGTTTAGTGTTGTTGTGTACTTGTTTTACATGGAGGCTCAGCCCTTGTTAAGGCTCATATTTCAGATGTGCCGCAGCTACCCTCATAAAAGCACAGGGCTTTTGATCTAAAGTGTTTCGCTTAAGTTCTTTATTTAAATCTGTTAATTATCCAGCACAGCTACGCTGCATTAAGACACCTGTGAATTAAATACAGTCACACAAGGCGAACATTTGATATAATAATCATCTCCCTTTTTGTACTGTTGTGCTTGAGTGTATCCGCACAAAAAGATGCATCTCTTTCTCATTTTGATTAAAAAGTGATACATAGATAGTTTTTAGCCTTCAAACTGTTACTTTCAAGTTTATTATACTTAAATAGCTCTGTGATTGTATGTTATCTCAGTAAGGAGCTTCCAGCTCCTCAGCCGGTCTGACAGTGCAATTTCACCATGTTAGAGACTTAAAAGTGTCAGCAAAACATCATGAGAAGGTTTGGAAATGAGGGAACAATTCTGCCCTTTGTTGTTTGGGTGCTCATATTTAACAGAACCGTGGATCTCACCACTTGTGTTCTTAAAGGATCCAGGGATCCCTTTGTGTGCAAAATGTTCCCTGCTCTATGTCATAGGTCAAATCCTTCCTTAAAATCCTGTTGTCCTGTGTCCGTTTTACACGGTTTATTCCAAAGAAACAAGTAAAGGTTTATTTTATGCCGAAAACAGAAGAAAAGAGACGCAACGTTTCGGTTGTGGAGCCTTTTTTGGGTGTGAGTTCCTTTGCACCTTTAAGTTTGCAGCTTATGCATGATGACGCAGCCACCTACTTAAAGTATTTATTCCAACAGGGAAGTCCCTTAAGTTGACTTAAAGCATAGAAGTTAACCAGGTCTTCTTTTTTAGCAAGTTCTTTTTAAAAAGCATATTACAGGGAATTCCTTATGTTTATCTTGTGGTATCTTGTGTGCAAGTGCAGAATTCAAATTGTTTCAGGCTGTTACATACTTTCTGTAATTTGTCACTGCTGGTGACACAGCAACATGTTTTCATGAAGTAAATCCAGACTTGTGCAGAGAAACACAGGCAAACAGCAGTGTGAGTAAGCCACACAATGTTGGCAAAGATCAAAAGCAAGAGATTGGTTACAAGTACCAGCCGGGAGTCCAGGGAATGAAGTCAGGTCGAAGTACGATCTGGAATCCTCTATCGACCGAGTTCCCAGGTACTGCCATCATGCCAGTCCTGAACTACCTGAGGTGGACGTGGTGAATAATTGCCTTTTAGATGGTTCAAAACTTCTGTATTTAATTACCACGATAACTGGTGAAGAATGACATGTGGCCAGCTAACGTGTAAATACTAGCTCACCCTGCCACTCATCCGCAGCCACAATAATTACACTTTCTGTATAATATACTGGCTGATTTTTGTGTATTATTAATGCTCTCAGTATATAGATCTTATGAGACAGTCTCTTTCATTTTTTACATACTGCTTTAAAATGTAGAGAAAGTACATTGCCTCATACAGGTAGTATTTTCTGTTTCCTTTTTTATTTTAAATGGCCCCACTGGATGTGATCAGAGGTTGTGTTTATGTAGAATTCAAAACCCAATGAAAGAACATCACTCCTTTTCATCCTTATTGAATCTACAGGTACAGTGACCATGCTCTTCTGATGTAAAGCAACATTTTGAATTTAAAATACGTGTACCGTACCAGGGATTGGGATCAGTATCCTCTTTTTGTTGAATTTAATGTGAGAAATTGTGACGTTGTAGAAACAAATTGTGATGTATTCTTTTAAGTTGTTTTTTTTACATCTGTGCTTTTAATGTAATGCAAGGAAAATTAGCTCTTGTCAGTGGAAACAGTACTGATGACCATGTTCATAAAAGCAATTAAAATGGAATAATTTTAAACAGTGTGCTGAAATGGGAATAATTTATTAACAATTTGTGTTACCTGTTTGTGCCTGAGTTTAATTTAAATGTAATCAGTAATTGAGAGCACATTCAGGTTATTTATATTGGTATTGTATAAATGCACATTATTCCTTTATAATGCAGTGATGCTTGAAAATATTTTTGAAATTTAAGCTGGTTGTTAAACAGCAAATCTATGTAATATGTAGCTCCCACATTAGTACATATTTAGCTTGTCCATTTATTACATTATGATTTAATTCAGATTTCCATTGCATGTTTTTCCTTGTTGTTGACCTTCAAATTTAACAGAAAACCTTATCAAAATAGGATTCTGCTCTCTTGGGATTCTTTTGTGCAGTTATCCCATTTTCTAAGGATCTTTTCGATCTGTATCAGATAAATCTGGAAGCTGTATTGAGAAACGTTTTATCTGGTAATCTGGCGAATAAACCACCATTAAATTGGAGTTCTGAGTTTAATGCTGCTTTCTCCTATGTCCCACTCTTTGCTCACCATCTTCCTCCCTCTCTCTGTCTCAGGTGGCCATTAAGATAGTGGATAAGACTCAGCTCGATGATGAGAATCTGAAGAAGATATTCAGGGAGGTGCAGATTATGAAGATGCTGAGACACCCCCACATCATCCGTCTCTACCAGGTCTCTGTCTCCTCGTTAGCCTCAGCCGAGCCCGTCTCTCTGTCTCCCCATCAGCTTCTTGCAGATGTGTCCTTTCACATTTCGACCTCCGCTTCCACCAGATCCGTTTGTGTCAGCCCCTTTGCCCCTGCCTGTCTGTGTGTCTGTTGCATCATCTGCCTCTGCGAGGTCTGTCTGTCACATACTCCACCTATAGCTGGTCTGTTTGATTGCTTGATGACATAAACTGCCTTTCACATTGCTTGTTGGCCTGCCTGCCCGCCACGTGTCCGTCTGATGTCCTGCCTGTCTGTCCCACAGGTGATGGAGACGGAGCGGATGATCTATCTAGTGACAGAGTACGCCAGTGGGGGGGAAATATTCGGTATGTAGAGGTCAAGGTTCATGGATCACGGTCTAACGGCTACTTGACAGACCTCTGTACAAGAAGGTTGTCTGTGATTTTGGATCACGAACATTAAAACTTAAGATATTTCAAAATGCTAAAGTAAAATAACATAGTATAAAATTATATTTTTGAAAAATCAAGTGCAGAAATAAGCAGAGGGTTTGTTGCCTCTCTCCAGATCACCTAGTTGCTCATGGACGAATGGCGGAGAAGGACGCTCGGCGGAAGTTTAAGCAGATTGTCGCGGCCGTCCACTTCTGTCACTGCCGCAACATTGTCCACCGAGACCTCAAGGCCGAAAACCTCCTGCTGGACCACAACCTCAACATCAAGATTGCAGGTAATGGGGGCGCTTTGTCTTCGTCTTCCCACTGGCTCTGCGGTCAAGCTTCCTGCACCTACCCCCTCCTCCTCCTCCTCCCCTGCCTCCGTCTCAGCAGGCTGTGTGTCTCTGCAGACTTCGGCTTCAGCAACATCTACTCACGGGGTCAGCTGCTGAAAACATGGTGCGGCAGCCCCCCCTACGCAGCCCCTGAGCTCTTCGAAGGGAAGGAGTACGACGGGCCCAAGGTGGACATCTGGGTGAGTAAACTACACCCCTAAAGTGCTCCATGCAACTCACCACATACCCTCGCATTCTACCTACTCCATACATCCGCCCGACGTCTTTCATATATCTAACACTCAACCCCACCCGACGGACCACGCTACACTTTTACTGGGGACCCTACCTAACGCTACAGCCCTTTCTCATACAACCTGATTCACACTGCTGCCACTTGACAGTCGGGTTTGTATTCACATTCACACCATCTCCTACCCCCTACCCCTGCCCAGATCACAGATCTCTGTCTCTGCAGAGTCTGGGGGTTGTGTTGTACGTCCTGGTGTGTGGCGCCCTGCCCTTCGACGGCAGCACCCTGCAGAATCTCCGGGCCCGCGTGCTCAGTGGCAAGTTCAGGATTCCCTTCTTCATGTCCACAGGTGAGCTTCGCCGCACTGGCCTCTTCCACAGACACTATTCCACAGCCCAGCCACCACTTCATGCAGTCCCTGCGTGGCAGGTCCTGTTTGATTAGATTCTTTGGAATTCAAGAAGAATTTCAACCTGAGTTCTGTGAAGACCACAGCATACTCTGAGAGAATTAACAAGACCAGGGGCATTCTTTGGTATATCTTACTGGTAAATTGTTAGCAGTGAAAATGTCTCTTACATTAGCAAATTGGAAAGTTTGTTTCATCGGGATCCACTAAGAGCTGCTCCAGTGGTCTGCCAGGGTGTCTGACTGCTCCCCACCCCATTTAATCCGAATTGTTGTTTTGTTAAAGCTTCTAGGAAAGCTTTTCCAAAAAGACGGATATCATCTTTCTGGCACCTCCTGCACAGGCTTAACAGAATAATGTATTCTGCATTTCATGCTGTGCTGTCCATCTGCAGTTGACAAAAAAGTAGAATGACAGCCCTTCCATTGCTACTCATAGCCATGTATTTATATAAACCTGTTTAACATACAACTGCCACTTGTTCCACCTTCATGAACCTCCAAAAGGGATGTGGACTAAATTAACAAAAGGGAAATAATGTATCTTGTAACACATACTGTATTAATGTCTGAACCTTTTGATAAATTCTGGTACAAGAGAGATAGGTTAAGTTTTATGCTAAAATGTAAAGTCATATCTTAATAGATCCTAATATACTATTAGGATATTCTTATGATATATTATTAGAATAGATATTAATCCAATGATTCATTACTGTGATGCACCGTTTCTAAATCTAAATCTGCTGTTCTGCCGTACATATATAGTTTACTTTAAAAAGTCACTGGGACACTTATGGAATATAACATAGGCCACCCTATTGTTTTTTGGCCATATTGTCTGTCACACCAGTATTTGTGTGTGTCAGTATTAACAGTGTGCAGCAGTGAGTCCGAGCACCAGTTTCTGTGTGTGTCGGTATTAACAATGCGTGTGTGGCATTATGCGGGGCATGTTCAGTGTGGAGGTGGAGCCCTTTTCTAATGCCTTGACAGCCACAGCTGGGCCAGTTAATTTCCGGAGCGACCAGCTAGCAGGACCTCAGTCCAGCTGAGAGAGGATGTCTGGGACTAGAGAGAGCTGGGGTCGAAGCACATATAAGATGCTGCTGGAGCAACTATAGTGAAAAGCGTGTCTACCTGGAGAGAGCAGAAGACGGATTCAGGGTTGCAACTTATGGCCCCTGCAAGGGGAGAATATTAGACTGACAGTCGCGGAGGGGATTGTGGAGAGAGTGTTAAGGGTGCTTTTTTGTTTCTTTTTGTTTTCTTTTTCACCGGGACATGCTGCGCCTCTCCTTTCCTGTTCTGCTGTTTATCCTCACTGGGGCAGACTGAGCCTCTCCTCTCCTGTCCCGCTGTGAGGATTCACTGGGGCAGGTTGTTTCTTTTGGCCTCCAGGCTTTTTTTCTCCAGGCTGGACCCTGCTAAATAGGGACAGTTCAGTCTGGATGCCGCTGTTCCAAGCGGTGTGTTTTTCTTTTTTCCCCTTCTCCTTTTTTGTTTTTCTCTTTTTTTGGCTGACCTCACACTGGTGCATCTGCCCCCTCAGACAGGACATTGACTTTTACTGGTGTTTGCTGTGGCTCCTCCCAAAAACCTGCTTTGTTACAGCGTGATAACCGTATCTGACAGTATCAGTGATATCTGCGTGATGGTCTTTCAGACTGCGAATACCTGATCAGACACATGCTCGTTCTGGAACCCAGCAAGCGTCTCTCCATGGAGCAGATCTGCAAGAACAAGTGGATGAAGCAGGGAGATCCAGACCCAGAGTTTGACAGGGTGAGTTTCAGTGCACAGGAACTGATTTTACTCCCTAATTTAATGGATGCTTGTTTCACTGTCACACAACCGCACATAATCATTGGATGTGAATAAGTGATCAAGTGCTTAATTCTTTTCCTGATCTTTCCATCAGTTGATAGCTGAATGCGAGCAGGTGAAATCGGAGCAGCAGACAGAGCCCATTAATGAGCAGGTGCTTTTGGCCATGGTGGAGATGGGCCTGGACCGTGAGCGCACACTACAGGTACTGCCACAAGGGGAAGACCATGAGCACACAGCCATTCTCCCATAGTGCTGGAGACAGCACACGGTGGTGCTGCCTTGTGAAACAGTGAGAAAGTAGGCATGCTTCCACAGTGATGAAAGCAGTAAGCACACTGCAGTGTGTCAAATAGTAGACAGTGAAAACATAGCTTGACTTCCACTGGGTGGGGAGACAGTGAGCACATTCACTAAAATACATTTATGTTGGGAAGCAGTGAGCTTGTTACGCTACACCCCCTGGAAGTGACTGAGCCACTGTTGTCTTTGTGGACAGTCAGCACAACACATTACCTGCCCCTGGGCATGTGCAGTGAGGCTACACCTGTACTGCCACTGGGGGAGATAGTATGCAAATTTTACTCTTGTCTTTGTGAGAAGACAATGAGCACACTATAACACTACCTCTGAAGGAGATACTGCTGCCAGTAGGGGGAAGACAATGAGAATGCTACTGTACAGTGGATATCAAACATTTTTTTTTATTTTTAATTATTTTACCTAAAGATTATCCATTTGATTTTCACTTAAATATTGTTGGTTACAAGATCTTATTAAAGGTGAAAAAAGGTCGGACATGATTTGTCTTGATTTCAGCCTTTATATCAACAAAAGCTGAAATTTCAGTAAGGGTGTGTAGATTTTTTATATCCACTGTATGTCCACTGGGGTGGGGGTGTCAGGGACAATACTGCAAAGTGGAGCAGAGACTGTGCCTCAGATTGTACCTTTACCCCTCAGGCAGGCTCTTCCCTGACCTTCTCATTTGAAGAGTATCCACTAGGTGCTAAAGTAAGAGAGCCAAAGGCACTTCCTGTTTCAAATTTATCCAGTGTACCTTACTGCAAAGGATACAAATTGTGTGGAGACCCTGGGGAAATTGATTATCCTGGCTTTCTAGTCCTCAATGATGGAATTGATTGCTTTTAGTTGCTGTGACAGTGGCACCCTGAAGGGACCACTGTTTGAAACACAAGGCCTTTAGTTCACCTAGGGGGAAGGAATGAGCGTGATTGTTAGTTGCTGGGTTCGATTTGAGAGGAGGGACATTAGGACACTCCTTCACCTGCTCTTGTTGTCTCCCTGTAGTCTCTGCACACAGATGCTTATGATCACTACAGCGCCATCTACAGTCTACTGTGTGAACGGCTGAAGAGACACAAGACCCTGCGCATTGCTCCCCCTACCCACAGAGCCATGACCTACCCTGGTATCAACACAGTACAGGTACACCCCAGAAGTGCCCATAAGAGCAGCACTAGAGAATGTACTACTACATTACTGCACACAGTTAGTGCTCATGGTATGGTACTGTATTTCCCTTACAGTCTACACACTCAGCTGGTCTCACTGTACTGTCCACACTGTACAGAGTACAGACTGCACTTTTACCTCTGTACTGTGCACTTAATAGAGTGCACACTCCACTGTCAGTATTGTCCTTAACAGTGTATAGGGTGCAGACTTTACTGTGTCCTGTTTAGACTGGAACCCTTTAAAGACAGTGTAGAGTGTGCTGTGTAAATATGAATGTTATATAAGCAATGGTGTCTTAACAATTCTTTTGTGTTTTAAAGATTCGCCTCTTCTTTCTTCTTATCTTCCCCTTTCTTTGTTCTTGCTCTTGCTCTCTCCATCCCATTTTCCCCTGGCCCCTCTCACTCCTACCGTCCTCACTCTGTCTCCGCAGGCGGATCAGCCCGGCAATCCAGTCAGTATCACTGTCCCTCATGTCCAGCTCATCAACCCTGACAACCAAATCGTGGAGGTCAGTGTGACACAGCTTCCACACACCCAGAGGACTTAACTCTTTCATACCGTTCACACAATGCGGATACACATTTTCCTGCTATCTCCTTGATAGCCTACAACACTCATTCACCCACTTACGTTTGTGTGTAAAAAAGTATGCATGATGTGATACCTGTGTGCCAAAGCATGACTTGCTCTTTGTGTCTCTTTGTCCTTTCTTTCCTCCCTCTTTCCTGCCTGCAGACGGATGGGGCGATGGCTCTGGACAGCGATGAGGGAGAGGAGCCCTCTCCAGAGGCCATGGCGCGGTACCTGTCCATGAGAAGGCACACTGTGGGCGTGCCAGACCCCAGGCCAGTCTTCCTGCCGTCTCCCACTGCATAGTGGTTTAGTGCTTTTCAGGATTTCTGAGCTGCAGGCAGCTGCACATGTTGTACAGTCGAAGCAAAATTGTTTTCACTCCATGTGTCTATGTCGACATACTGAAAGTAAGGAAAATAGCTTGAAGTATCTAGCCTATAAGGACATTTTAAGAGCCTACAACTGGAAAAATGTTGTCAGGCTGCAATACAACTGTGTGAACACTGCATAGTGTCGTAAACTGCACGTGATCATCATGCTGATGTGTTGGAACAAGTGAAAGTCTTTTGATTTGACCAAAATGTATCAAACGGGAATTTGGCAGGGGCAATCAGTCACTTAAGAGAGCTCCAGATATCAAACTGCAGTGTGTCTGATCAAGTACAGCAGGTGCTGAAAAAGTATTTTTGACGCCTAGAGAGGGGAATGGCGCATCACATGGTTTGAACTGTCCACCAGGCTTTGGACATATGCTGCACATATGCTTACCTTGGATTTTTCTACTTATCTATGATTGTTTTAGTGCATCGCCTATGCTAACTTTATATAATGGAGACAGTATCTTTACCTCAGGGTTCTTCTTTAAAAGCAGTTGACAGCTAAAACAGGGATGCATGGAGGTGGGCACAGCATGATAAGATAGCTGCAAAGCTGGTGTCGGAAAACCTGAAGGATCTGGATCGCGGTTTATGACTGCGTTGTTGAAACAATAGCTGATTGCAACATCCAAAGGAAATGTCCTGGTAAAAGAGACGGATGTTGACTAAACACATATTGGAGGGATCAGAATACTATTATGATTCCAGGTCATGATGTTGTTCATGAAGTTGTTCTGAGGATATACTCCCTTGCAGGAAAAAAATAATAAAGCAAGTTGCCTCACAGCTACAAAGAAGCTTTGATAAGCTTTTATCAAAGCTTGATAAGATTCTCAGTAAAAAATCCTAATTGTGACTGGGAAAGCAGTACATACAGACTTCCCATTTTAATGAACATGGAATTAGAGACCATTTGCTATGAAATATATTATTCACAATAAACAGCTGTGTTGCACCACTATGTTTTTAAGGGAAGCAGCTCTTAAAAAAAGGTTCTTGATTAGTAATATGGAAGAAACCATTATCTTGCCCTCATGGGTCATCAAGTTGTTCTGTCAAGTAGAATGGAAAGTTTGCAAGTGAATGTGTGAAAGCTTTTCACTATTACCAGTGAAATTTACTGGAGACTTCTCACCCTGGCAGGACGGAAATGCAGGAGGAGCTGCAGAAACTGGCCCCTGGGTTCCCTCGCGTGGCTCCACAGCCCCCCTTCCTCCCACTGGCCCCCAATGTCAGTGTCATGCAGAATCTGATGCCAATGCAGATTCTGCAGCCCGCCACACAGCAGCTGGAGTATAAGGTCAGTGCGTGCGAATAGAATCAGCTCCAGCTTTAGGTCTCAACTTCACACACAAGCCTGCTGTGTACGCAGTGTGTCACAAGTACTTTACGTAAAAACTCTAAACTGCTGCCTTTTCAACTTGATTATGTGAGTATGGAGCCATAGTCATAATCCTGAACCCTGCTTTAAACCAGTGATAAAGCACCTTGTGAATTATTTTTTGGAGACTGCGTTTGAAGAATGGTGATGTCATAGGTACGAAGTTTGTCTAGTGGTAAATGTGCACAGTAGTGGTATTTTTGAACTAGTGGTATTTTTGAACTGTTTTGTCTTATTTACCTATCCGATTTGGAAGTGTTAGTTATTCATCAAGGCAGGTCATATGTCTAACCCCTCATATCAGCATGACAGTGAGGTCTAAATGCTCTGAAACATGCAGCTTTAAGAAACATTCCACTGTGAAGACATGAGAGTTAGGGGCACCTAGAGGAGATGTTTCTACTACAAGCTCGCAGGCTGGGACATGTTCTCTGACTCAAACACACACAATCCTGTCAGCATTTGTATTGATTGTGTGCCACTGCACGGTTGACCACTAATAAAATCCAACAAGGCTCCAACTTGGCAATGTTCAGACAACAAGGTTGAATCTGATACTGCTGCTCACGATAGAGACCACTACAGACGGAAGAAGACTTCCATGTTACCATGCTATCATCTCTCCACAGGAGCAGTCCCTACTCCAGCCTCCCACTCTCCAGCTCCTCAATGGAATGGGGCCCCTGGGCCGCAGGGCTTCAGATGGTGGTGCCAACATCCAGCTGCATGCCCAGCAGCTGCTGAAGAAACCTCGTGGCCAGTCTCCCCTGGTCACCAGCCCGGTATGTCTCTTAGCCAAACATGTTTATCTATTCTTGTACCATTTCTTATTTACTCTGCATGTCTCTCTGTATGTGTGGCTCCAGTGTTCTCTCTCTGTATGTGTGGCTTCAGTGCTCCCCTTGTGTCTTTGTCTGTTTCCTTGACTATCTCTCTGTCTGTTTCTAGTGGTGTCTGTTACTCCAGCCTATACCTATGCCAATACTGCCTTGTCACCTGCCTTGTCTTTCTCTTTCCTCATATTATACTTCTTGAATTCTCTCTCTTTCTCCCCATTACTGTCTTAAAGTTCGTGGCCCTTTTTCTTTCTGTCTCTGCTGGTGACTAGACAACCTACGGAAACTCACTTCTAAAGTGTCTAACCTTACCCCCCGGTCTCTGCCAGCATCCTATCCCAGCCGTTACCCCTGTGGATGAAGAGGGCTCTGATGGAGAGCCTGACCCTGAGGCAGTCCAGAGGTAAGAGAGGTAATGGGCTAGACGGAGGGCAGGCGAAGGTGTGTCCCAGGCCTCATTCTGTATTAGTACAGCTTCTAAAATGGGAAATACCTCAATGGAGGAGCAGGAGGATGGCCTTACGCAGACTCAGCCATTATTGAGCTCAATACAGAGCAATGCAGTGTTGGTTCTGCCCCACAGAACTAACAAACTGCTAAAGTATTCTAATCCTTTTATACATTACAGCTTCACGTAGTACATGGTAAAGGTAGGTCTGTTTCAGGCTCAGGTGATTTTCACTGTATTCTGATCTCTTCTTCTCTTAACAGGCTATGAGCAAACCAATTATTGCTGTTTTTACAAATCCCATTCTTTCATACTTTAACAGACCTTGAAGCAGTTTGCAGTAAGGATGGAGTTCTTTGAGTGCTGTGCTGTGCTGTTTGCACCACCACCAATGCCAAAACACTCCATTTTACTTTATTTTCCCAAAAATAAGATGCACCTTTTTTCTTCCAAGTTTCAGTGTGGTACAATCAGCCTTGGCTTACATTTGAATACAAGTAAAAAAGAATCAGAAGCTGATCAGGTTGCTGACATATTTACCTCAGGGGTGCTGAACAGTGTTGAAATGTACTGTAACGGATTGCCATTTTGCTTGGTTCCGGCGTGTTATGATTCTCAT